TGCTCAGAACTTTTTACACAGTTAATGCAATTTCAAAAAAGTTGCATATGTTTACTACCAAAGGGTTTGGATTGCCATACAGTTCAAATTTTAATGATTCAATTCCGCTGTCTGCTACAGATTGCATTTTCTTCTTCCGATTTCGCGTCAAATTCCTACCATCGACTGCACCTACTTTCAACCTGATTTTCTTCAATCTGTTCTTAAATTTTCTGAAGGTGTGTACCGTTTCTGAAAGCTTAGAATGTTTGGACATAGTCAGCGCTCAGAACTTCTCAATTGGTCGCAGTTGAGGAAAATTTGGTGGGTTTCCATTTTTTGCCACAAATTCAATTTTTTCAGATGTCGGCACTGAGTGACCTTTTTGGCGTCATGGGACCTTGCGAGGTCAGGCCAAAACAAAACTTTATTTTTTTATGATCTTTGATAATAAACGATTCCAATCCACCTTTAATGCATGATTTAAGATAAACCCCCTGATTTACAGCACCCTCTAAAATGACGGGATCGGAAACATGACCAATGCTAGACATGCATTGCCAAATTCTTCATTTTTTTGGGAATTGGTCTTTCTTTTGGACTTTGTCTTCATATTTTACTTCACAGGGGTTGGAACTATGGAAAAAATGCCTTCCTGGAAGATTTGAAGGGTCATCTCTGACGTGGGGCTCATCGTCCATGATGACCACTTTTCCTCTAATTTTCTTCAATAATTTCTTGCACAACGCATGAATCCTTTCCTGTTGTGTTGGTTTGTAATTTTGTGCTGGTGTTTTTGCCCTTGCTATAATCCCTAGTTTATGGACTTTGATTTTGCTCAAATAGCTTTTTGAAATCTTGACCATCCTTGTCGTGCCAGCCGTTGCCGTTGATGAATGATTTTGTTAAATTTTTTTTATCCGATTTTTGACTTTTGTCGTCGCTAGCTTTGCAGGCCGACCAGTGGGGACTTTGAATTTGAGTTCATTGGATTCCTCGTACTTTTTTATGTAAGAATTGACATTTGAATGAGCAATACCTTCTTGCTAGAAAAAGTGCCAAGTGATTTTAGAATCATAGTTTGTTCGATTTTTGCGAAACACAATCACTCTTTTTTTCAACTCTTGCCTTTCAACCCAAGTTTTTCTAGTCTTAGCCATGACTCAATAATTGGTGACATATATCAATGGAAAGCTTATAACTTGGTCTATTAAAAAATAATTTTTTCGAAATTTAATTTCGCTGTGTTCCCGCCTAGCGCGCCTTTTACGGGGCAGTCAAAAACCTTAGTGGATGCTCTTTATATATATATAATCGACGTAAATACGACTTTATTTGTTGGATGTCGGCATAATCGTGCCCGTTTACGAATTCCTTGTGGAATCAGATCACAAGAGGATAATTACTTTAGTATTTACTGCTTTGAGCAGAATTTCGTCGTATGTGATTAAATTAACTAAACTGTCCTCCTCAGCAAAGTTAATTCAATCGCAGTCGAATTGATGCAGATTTCAGTATTCTGTGTCTATTGACAAGTCCACGGGCAAATTTTGTGTGTGTATCCTTCCAGACTAATTGATTGTTGAAAGATTCATCAAAGAATTTAATTTGAGGAATTAGCTGCCTCTCTTTCTTTGAGTGGAACAAAAGCCAAAGTGCTTCCGGGTATCGGAAAGTTGTCCTCTGTGTGTCCTCGCAGGAAAGTCGGAAAAGAACAATGTGCTCGTATTCACATGAGTGAAGGCACAGATGGAAATTTGGTTCTCATTTGAATTCTCTGTGCATGACAAAGTCCTTCGTCTGCTTAGGAAATGTTTACTTTGGGTAATTAAAGTAATCAAAATGTTTACCTTGTGAAAGAATCACAAGGATGACAAAATATGTGTGTACAAAAATAGGCCTTGGGGTGCATTTTCCTCGGGATGCTACTGTTTTGAGGGATTTGTGCGCCTTTGTGACATCGGTGTAATCCGACCTCTCGAAATTTATCCTTTGCATAAAAATAAATATAGGATAAGAATGTCACAAACTGTATAAACAAAGATGAAACGCTAAATATGATGAGATTTTTGAGACAAAAGTACTCTTCATTTGCATGAAAACTTTGGTTTAATTCGGAATAGGGTGTGGAAATGGGTATAAGAGTTTGCATCTCTGTATTGTTGTATGTACGTGAGGGTTAAAAATTGCATAATGTCCTCGAAAACTATGTACTGTGTGTACATATACATATGTAAATGTACATTGAACCACAGCTGGAGACCGGATTGTCGTACTTTCATGGTTGGTGGTTTGTCAGAAATCTTCAAAAGAAGTTCAATGCCGTAGTTTCGAAAAGTACCGTAGAGATTGATGTAGAATCTCTTTGAAGATATAAAAATGACAAGTGAAGCGGTATTATAGATATTAGATTCAAGTGATGAGTAGCATTTTTTATAATTGATCCACATGAGCTTGGATTTCCACTCATTACAACAACGAAAGAAAAAAATGTTACACATTCTTCAGTGGAAGTTTTAAGATTTGAACTTGTTGTAAAGCATTTCCCATGTACCTTAAAATGCTAAATTGTATTTTAACGTTGATAAAAAAGTTTGAGATTTAAAGTTTGTCCGATGGTACAAAATATAAAAGAAACCCAAAAAAGGAAAGCTTAGATGAGACTAAGAAGTGCGATAAAAAGTATTTAATAAATTTCTTCTCCAGTGAAGGACATAGAATTTTAAAATTTCCAGCATCAGCGCACCCATTTCATTTTACTCTAATATCTGTACATAAGCAGCATGTATGCATTTATGTACATATAATTAAAAGTAGACCATGTTAGGCTACACCTGTATATCATGTATCAACCTTCAGTATATTTGTAAGCATTCATAATTTTTTAGTGACAAGAAAAATTCACAAATGATTTTAATACTTCTCTCTGAGTTATATTTCAAATTTGATAGTTATTGTATATTTGTATATACGTGGTAGTGGATGAAATGGGGCGCTGATGCTGGAAATATTAAAATTCTGTGCCCTTCACTGGAGAAGAAATTTATTAAATACTTTTTATCGCACTTCTTAGTCTCATCTAAGCTTTCCTTTTTTGGGTTTCTTTTATTTATTAGTTTTTGTTCGTATTGAAGAGTAATTTATGTGACCACCAACTAATGACCTTTAAGAGACCCCAAGCATCACCTAGATACTAAATGGGTTCTGGATTGAGAAGTCGCTGGGTCGACCTTAGCAACTCAACTTTGGGCGGTGGTGGGAGTGGTTACATTTCACCACCATCAAAACTTTCTCACTTTTAAACCGATTTTGTCTATTTTAATTTTGTATTTTTATAGAAAATGTGTATCAACTTTTTATCCGTGTACTTTTTTCATGCATGCCTTAAATTTTTTTAAATCTCCAAAAACACACTATTGGTTGGGTTTTTATTGAATATCTCATAAACCGTTGGATGCTTCAGGCGGCCAAATCAGGGCTCTGCTCGATGTAGCCATAATTAACTCTGGCCAAAATTTCATTAAAATCGGTTGGAAACTGACGGAGATCTGAAAAAATTAAGCTTTTCAAACCTGTAGTGAATGCTTGCTTAGATGATTTTTTTTCCATATAGTAACTATGGCCTCATCTAAGAAAAATGAGTGTTGAATTGTCCAGGGATTTTAAAAATAAAATTGTCTAATGAAATTAGTTTCGCAGTAACAAGAGAATCCAATCATGCCATTTAGTTGCCACCTTGACGTTCCCACAAAGAATGCTGAGAACAGTGCAACTGCTACTTTTTAACGTCCTGTAAAGTTCTTACGTAATCCAGCAGGCCTTTTAACTTCTCGTTCATAATTAATTTGGTGAAAATTGGTCAGATAAGTGCTTTCCCAAATTTTACAGTTTCCAGTTGCAACTTTTTTAATTTGATGAACGTAAGCGTTTTTGAGATGTTAAAAAATTAAGAAGCTCAAAATGCCTCAGATATTTTAATGTACTTATTAATTCATCAGCAGGGTTTACGTCGATAATTTTTTACCAACATTCACCATGTACATATATGTATATTTCTTATAGTTAGAGAGATCCCGAAGAGAACATAGACAGAGAAAGTAATTATAATCAGTAATCAGTATAATAGATATAATCAGTCATTTCTAGAAACTTGGTGAACCATTTGACTTTCTCTTTCTTACTGACTACAACCAAATGGGTTTTAGTAATTAACAAAATTGCTCATCAGAGTTCCCCAAAATCGTATCAAAAAGTTTACATAATCGCATTAACAATGTCTTGATTCTGCCTTTTAAATAGTGATCACTCTCATAAGAAAATTGTAACGAACTTGACCTCCCGCAGTTTTGTTTTAATAGTTTGAAAGTAAAAATAATTAGGTTAATTTGTCCCCAATTTTATAGAGTGGATAGCCTGTTCTCTTTATTTTAGGGAAAATGGTCCCAGAAAACCTGAATGAACAATGTTATGATGTAATTATTCCTAAATTTCTTCGTCTTGATTATTTTAAGGTCTTCGTGATAGCTGCTTAAAAACAATTAATCACTAATTAAACTTTCGTATTTATTTAGTGTAATGGACAAAATTTCATCTTGGACACTTAAATGACTTATTTTAAAGGAAATTAAAATGTACAAACGAATAGTCGTGTCCCGCCGGATATGGTTTTATTACTCTTTCAAAGATGAAATGAAAGTATTTTGTGCAAATTTCCGGCTTTCAAGATTAAAGATGATTGCTTTTTGCAAATTGCATTTTCAAAATTTCTTGAGAGTCAATTCCTTGAAGGATAGATTCTATTTATATACATAAGTGCTTCCAGACAATTAGTTGGTCTAAGGAATCCTAAAAAAATTTACGATATGAGATCATACATAACTATATTGTGAACCTTGGTTTTATTTATGCTGTATACATACATTGAAAGTTTGATAGGCACCAATATAAATAAGTATGCATACCATATACATATTTATGTAAAATAATTTGCATGTAAATGATATACGGCTAGTCACTGAATATATTTTTTTAACCAGAACAATATATTCTGAAGGGGAGTCCTTGTCTCGCTCCGATTTATTAAGCTGTTAAAAATTTAGACAAGTTTTTTGGGTAGTTAAATTGGTACAAGTAATAATACATGATGCTGTTGTTGTCGGCAGATTAATTTAACTGCTGGGGCAAACGCTTCCGACACCAGCGCAACTTCCTTCGCGGACAATGTAGGCTTTGGTCATGTCAGTTGGTTGCAAATTCTTGCAGGTCGTGGCTGGACCAGTGAAGTCATTCTTTTGGCATCCGTCAAAGTTGCCGCAAAGACCACACTGTTGGGCTCGGAAACGGCTTCCGATCGTGACCGTTGTGTAATGACCGGTGTATCGGATGGCAAGTCCCAATGGTCTGGACAAGAGGAACACATTGTTGTCATCGTGCTTGTAGATCCTAAAAGTAGTCAAATTTACATAGGAATTAGTTGGCGTCTTGTCAAAAGAACTTAATAAGTAGTCTGCTTACTTGAAGATCTTGGTATCTCCTTCGGGGAAAATGAGCTTGTCGGAAAGGGATTGAGATTTTCCGTCAACAATGACATTGTTCATGTCGTTGAGTTCAACCTTGTGCTCACCAGCCATAATCTTAAGGCCAAGCTTGTCATTGGAGATTTTCTTTCCAAGAACGACGAATCGTGGCTTATCAGAGCAGTCTCCAGAGACGAGGGTGTAGCATTCGGAGAGATCGGCAAAGTAGGTAGCGTTGTCGTAAGTTTGGACGGCGTGAGGAGTAACATCACAATAACCTATAATTATGAATAGTTAGTAATTTGTGTGCAAAACTATGGACAGTATGCATGTTGACTTACCGTAAACTCCCAATTCGAAAGCCTTATACATCAATCCAGAGAATCGGGAGTGAACTGGGCGCTTAAGTGGTCCTGGGAGGAAGTTGAGGTCGACCCCGTGGAAATGTTCAGACTCGCCACCAGATCCGTGCCAGTGGATGTCAGCCTCTGGATTCTCATCATCCATGGTCACATCAAGCTTGAGTTCGCCTTGAAGGTGTCCGTCAGCAGAAACTCCATGATCACCTTCAAATTAAAAATAATAACTTAATTAATTTGCAGGCTTTACATAAGTTAATGCGAAATTAAAGACTAAACAACTAACCATGAGCGGCATGACCATCGACAGTGTCAGAGGGAACCCAGTATGGCATAAGGGCAGCTAAAATATGTTCAAAAAATTAGCATTCACATAAAGAAATCAGTTCTGATAAAAGTATTATGGCAAACTAACCAGCAACAAGTGCTCCAGGGTACTTCCATCGGTTTCTTGCTTCTGGGTCAACCTTGTAGTTGATGGTGACGTTGGATTCACGAAGGTTGGTCTGTTTGTAAGCCGCCCACAGGCAGGGTTCAGTGGCTGGGGTAAGGTCTCCAGGGTACCTATCAAAATAGGACACAAAATCTCAGTTTCACACATACAATTATTTGGTAATTATGTGCAATATATTGGCAATAATGTGGTTTGTGCGTACTTGGGGGAGCTCTTTTGATCACGGCATTGCTTGTATGGCCAGGCGTCACTTTGAGCTTCATCCTTTTGAGCTTGAGAACGGTGAGCTTTTTTGGTGATCTTGATTCCAGCAGAGTTTGCGGGGCAGCTAGCATCCTTGGAAGAAATGTCCTTGGACCAGGCGACATTAATGGTTCGCTCGTAGGTTGGTTCATTCTCGCCATTGTAGTCAAAGAAATCGGAAACCTTGGCTTGAGTAGCGGCGATGTCAATGCAAACGACTCCACCCTTGTTGAGGGCATCATCCTTGGCAGCCAACTTGGTCTTGACTTCAATCTTCTCCAAACCAGTCTTAACTAGGGTAAGGGTCATGTCGAGGGATCGGGTCTTGGGGGTGGTTCCCGTGTACGTGAAGGTAAGGGAGGACTTTGCCATAAGCTTGTTTCCGAGCTTGTCCTTGGGATCTTCCTCATATTTGACCTTAGCTTGACCTTCAACCTTGTCGAAGACGGATGTGGCAGATAGATCTTTATGATACCAAAATTTCATTCCACATGTCTCTGTAGTTGGGGACAAAAATAAACTGGACATCATGTATCTAGTTCCTACACGTAAAAGTGTAAGTGATTGTCCAGCTCGGCCGCTATATGGTTTATTAGAAATTAATATATGACGCAATTTAAGTTTGCATATAAAATCAATAGACAGAACCTTACCCAAGATTCTTGAACTCGGGTCCATAAAATTTCCTCAACTGTCGAAGAACATGAATCCTGGAATGCACCTTCTCGCAGTCGAAATACTTGCCACCAATGTTAACTCCTTCCAAAGCTTTGTATTTGTATCCTGATCCTAATCTCCTTTCCTCACGGAATTTCTCCCCCTTGGAAATGACTTCCATTCCCTTGCACAATGGACAACTTTCATGAAGAAGGTCGACAATTTTGTTGTCATTCATTGTAGCCGGGGTATCAGAGTGAATCGAAGTGACTGCAGTTGCATGAACTTGAGCCATAATTGGATCATCTTCAGTAGGAGCAGAAATAGCAAAGTTGATGGATTGTTGCTTGACATCAAGCCCGAATGTGATCTTGCGTGGGATACGGATCCTTAAGGTTCTCAAGGCCTCAACGGAATGTGCAGTACCGAAGGGTGCCATGTGATTATTGACTGAGCTGATTCCATGAACATTTAGACCAAGATGAACTTCGTAGCTGCGATTCATTGTTGTTCCCGATTTGTCGGATTTAACCTTAGCGTGAAGTTTGGCCATAGTGGAAACCCCAGAAATAGTTGAAACTGGAATGCCAAGCTCATTTGGTTGTTCGGTCATGACCCCACCGAGTAGAATCATCTTGGAGAATTCCTTATCGTAAGCAGCATTACTGAGTTCTCCAAGTTTCTTCATTACTTCAAAGGAAAATCCATTAGCAGTATGTAACATAGAAAAAACTTATAATTAACAATTACATTGTGGGATTGTGGTAATAGTTTTCTCATCAGCAGCGTGATAAGCGACAAATCGATCGTGAAGCATTACACAAATTTCAATTCGGAGTGGATCAGCTTGACGTTCTTGAACCCCAATTTTATTAAAAATATCCTTGATTTCATCAAAATCAATGACACCTGCAGTCACATTTATTTTAAATTAACCGATTGGATTGGAAATTAAAAATTAAATGCAATTTCACCAGTGATCATGGACATGATTCGCGAGGAAATGGATTTCCCGAGGCCTTCCAATCGAACAAAGATAGAGAGATACTTGGAAGCGTAACCTCCTGCTGAACTCTTGACTCCGAAATATACCGTTTGTGGAAGAATGCTATGCCCACTCTGATATTAAAACCGATAAGTATTATAATATTTTAATCCTTCAAGGCTCATTTCAAGGGTTGACTTATGTCTCCTTACCTTCTGGACATTCAGAGTAGTGAGATGGGCGAAATGGTACTGCGGGTCGTAGTAGTCGCTAATGTAGATGCCAGAATGTTTGCTTTTCGTTTCAGTACGTCCCATCATGCTCAAGGCAGTTTTAGCCCAAGATGAACTACCAAATTAATGTCAAAAAGTATTTCATATATGTATTTAGAAAGTTAATAGATTAATGTAATACCAGATAATATCGGACTATTTTTTCAAAACTAAATAAATTGAACGTACCGGAGCTTCAAACATTGGTCGGTCGTTCCAGAAAGGCTTTTTTAATAGGGTTATAACAAAGTTCTTCACTTCAGGGTCCCTCTCTGTCCACATATAGATTCCAATTTGTTGGAAAGTGTTCTCCTCAGGGTATGATACTAGGGTCCATAGAATAGCAAGATTTCTAGTTTCAGAATCTTCTTGTCTGTTGAAAAATATGGGGAGGATGTTCTTCCTGAAAACGAGAGGATCTTTCTTAAGAAGCGGAGTAATTCCAGAGATAGCCATAGTACGAATTGACCGTTCTTGTTTGTTGTCAACAGCTATCGGTAGTAATTTCTCTGCCGCTTTGAAATGGTTCACATTACGGAGAGCCAGAATCGCTTGTGTCTTTACATCAAAACTAGATCCAGCTATAAATTTCAAGCAAGTTGTCAGTACATGATTTTTAAAGTTAGTCAATATAACGAGAGAAAATCTGTAATGAGACGTACAGTCAAGATTGTCGGACCAATATTTACCCACTTATCCAAAAGTCCTGTCCTTTACAATTTGTTTTCCTACAAGCACGCCCCAGTAGGGAAGCAAAAGAAAATTCTATAATACGTGAGTTGTATTTAGTATTTTCAGGTTTAATTAGTCCCTCGAGCTCCTTTATAAGATTTTCTGTTGGATTGCGGATGTAGTGCGCCATGGGGAATGTTACGAGTGAGGAAGATACTGTCGGATGTGCTAGCAGCAATGTCACGAAGAACAAGGGCAGCGGGCCAGTTCCGGAAATAGCAAGTGCGTCCAAGAACATTTTTTCCTCTGTAGCATCTCCTCCTTTCACCTTGTTGTCGTAAGTATCCTTGATATGTTGGTAGTTCAAAGCCGAGACAAAAGGCAGGAGAGAGAATGGGCTTACTAAAAGGATGAACATAAATGAAAAATTATAAACGTAAAAAATTAAAGCTGAAATTCCAATTTAATTTCATTTGAACTTCTAAGCTAATATTTAACACCTTTGTGGAATTCCTTGACGTCCTTGTAGAGCTCTGCAGTGTCGAAACTATTGTGCATCTTTTTGATATTTGTAAGGAGCTATTTGACACATTAAATATTGAAAAATTATACTAGATACAATTTACTAAGAAATGCCGTATTTCATATGATACACAATTAAATCGTATCTTACTTGATCTGCAGCCTTAGTTTGTCGCAGAATCAAGATCAAGACCTTTGTGATGGAAAAAGAAGGGACTGGATTGCCGAGATCCTCATCTTCCTTGACATCATTTTCAAATACGCTTTCAAATCGTTGAAAGTTTTGGGATTGGATGGGGGTGGAACGGATCCAGAGTTGGACTTTTCAAGTTCATCTTCATAATAGTGAATGAAGATTGCTGTGTCCATCTGCACCAAAAATCATGTAGGCGACGGATGATCCAACATGAATGTTTTTTGCGACCAAGTTTCCCTCCTGAATTTCCAAGTCATAGACTGAGAACGAGGTTGAGTTCAAAACATCCTGAAAAAAATATTATTAGCGGTTGGCGACATCAACTTATGATTAATAATGGAAACAATATTTTAAAATATACCCTTGAGTAAACCTCTGGACAATACTTGATAGTCATGCCAGGTTTACGGAATCGGCGAGGAGGATCTTCACATTGTGCGTGGGACCAAATTTACGAACTTGGGCATTGTTTCGAAGTACACGGTTGTCATCTTCCCTGGTATGATGACATAATCCGTTTTGCATCGACCTAAAATTCCACTCTACATATTTATGTAGATTCAAAAAAAAACATTTAGAAAATTAGGAATGCAGCGAAACAAATTGTTTTGTATGAACAAGAGTCTCACCTCCTCAGTGACGAAGCTATTAGATTTCTTGATATCAATTTTACCAAGGTCAAGTTGAAGGGAGGAGGCAATACCTCTCTTGATGTTTTGGCCCATTCATCAGAATTTTTGTCAAGGACGATTCCCTTAGCCTGCAGCAAACCCAGGATTAAATAAGTAACAAAAACCATAGGATATGATAAATTAGCTATATAAAGAAATATACCACGCCTGTATTAATTGTACAGAGAAAGGTTCAGACAAAGGATTCAACTGGTTGTACGCCTTCATCGCGAACTTCGGATAGTTTGGAGAATCAAACTGGCCATTGTGGGTTCCGAACGTAATGTCATCCAATTTGACATTAATGTCATTTCCGTTGGAAGAGATATGTATATCCCACTAATGTTAAATGTGCTAGAACTCTTGACATAGTCATCAGATCCAACTAGGGACAAGATTGTAAAACCGTAAATGAATTCCTTTCCTGGCGTGAAGAGGTTGGTACCGACATCTCGTTTGACAAACGCCGAGCTGCTTAGCACCAAAGCTGCGAAAATTACTAATTATTTTTGAACATAATTTTTTGAAACCAATTAAATTTCTTGAAACGGAGGTCAGTTTTGAATACTATTATGAAACTGTCTATATCTATCCTTACCAAAGAGAAGAAGCCACTTCATTGTTCAGAAGTATCAATTTTAAACCCCTGGACTCGATCTAGCTAGCTCCGAAATCGACTGAGGGCTGATTGCCCAACCTCATGGGCAACCAAATATTCAAGGACTATTGGTCAACATGGTCATGTCAGGGGTCACCTGGATTTTGAGTTAAATTTATTTACATACTATGTACATAAATACGAAACAAAGCGACATGACTACCATACGAAAATAAGGGCATGATACTAATGAAAGTGGCAGTTGGTTTATTGTCTGTAAAAAATGCATGTAACAGGAAATTTAGTGAAATTTATATAGATTATAGATGGGGACTGTAGCTACTTATAATTGTCCACCAATGGTCCAAACACTCCATTCCTTCCGATTGAGCCAAGCTTTTTGCGAACGATCGCCATGAACGTTTTGCCACTGGTTTCCCCAACGAGTTTTATTATTGCCGTCATGACCTGTATAAATTCTCGCAAGTTTTGGGTGGTTTTTGTCTATTGGAATATTCCTTCTTGATTAGTGCCCAAAACCGTTCAATTGGACGAGCTTGAGGGATATTTGGAGCGTCGTCTCTTTTTTCAACAAAATCGATATTTTTGCTTCGAAAAAAGTCTGTCACAATCTTGTCATAGTGGGATGTCGTCATGTCCATGACATGCTTGTTTTTGATGAAGGGGGTCAATCTCTTTATGATACACTTTTCACTTAGAGTTTAATTCAAAGTCTTGCAAATAATAAATAGCATTTCTTGAGAAAAGCTATCTCAACTCTCTTCACTACTTTCACCGATCCCAGGAGGGCAGGTCGGGCAACTGATTTTTTGAAATCTGCATTTTCGCGTTCCTCGTATCTGTCCAGTACTCGGTTAATTTTGTTCCGATACATTCCTCCATTTGGAACAAAATTGTGAGTGTTTTTTCGATCCCTGAAAAAAAATTTGGTACGTTTTGGCAAAACCGTTTTGCGACTTTTCGGAACTTTTTGCTCTCATTTTAGAACGAATAGAGATAAGGATTTTGGTTTTCGGATTCAGAAAGCTGATTAAATTCCGATGGAGACGTAATAGGCTTGCAAAATTTAACATGATCCTAAAACAATTAAGCGAGCGGGGAAACTGCCACTTTCATTAGTATCATGCCCTTATAATCTTGCTTTTATTCCGTATACCTAACAACATGCAATATATTATAATGGTGGTTACATTTGACATTATTGACAAATATGTATACATAAATAGGACGCCAGATTTATGTAAATATGTACCCTGGATATATGCACACATATTTCGTCCCGTTCTGATATCATTTAATAATTTAAAGTAAAATTTGTCGTCTTATTATGCAATCGTAGTATTTGTCCTTGATTGATTTTCTTATACTCGATCTTGAAAATACGATAATGAACTAATCTCATGCTTTTTATTTTCATCCTTCTCACCACTTAATGAATCAGATTACTACTGATAAATACACTGCAGTAATCAATAAAATCATGTGATGTAATTATCGCTCGAATATCTAGATTATTTATTAAATATGTATTATGTGGGCTTGCTAATACATACATATATCAGTATGTAGCATGTGCTAATCCTCCTGCAAAACCTCTCACATGAATTATCGTCTTAAAAACTATGCAATGCACATACTTATGTACTATGTAGATACGTAAAAAATATGCTGTTGGACTTCATTGTATTAGCCAATTTTGTATAAATGTTTTCATAATGTGCTGAACTAATTAAATTATCGGTTAATTTTATTAGGATTTTACCGATTTTAAGAATTTCGCATTGAGATATTGAATAAATTGAATAAATTGAACTAAAATAAAGCCCTCTTTAAAATACAAATATGATTGCGTTAGTTTTTCCTCCAGAGAGTAATAACACGTCTTAGCAGTATAAATCTTACAAGGGACACTCACGACCTGTCGTTTGAGTCCAGGGTACACCATGTTTTTTAGAATCTACGAGGACCCCAGATGAAGGATCCATTCATATTTCCGTGTAAAACTCATATTTGGGCCATGGCGTGGCGCCAAACTTAAAAATTTGCATTTTCGACCAACTTCAAACCCTCATAACTTTTGCAGTTTATGTCGGATTTTCAAAATTGTATGCTTAAAATGATCACAAAAGTCGAAATTTTTGACAAAAAAATAAAAATAAAAAATTTCTAATTTTTGCAATATTTTTAGGATTTTTTCGACGAACCCCATTTCGAAGAAAATTACGAAATTTTGCGAAAAGTTAAAAGCGATAATTTTAGAAAAAATTTCATTGAATAAGAAAGTTGAACTCTTTGTCATGATTTTTGCCAAAAATTTTGAAAATCCGTCCAGGATTTCAAAAGTTATGGCGGTTTAAAAATAAAAACATTCAATTTTGGCGAATTTGGCGCCACGCCACGTGCCAAATATGAGTTTTACACGGAAATATGAATGAATCCTTCATCTGGGTCCTAGTAGATTCTAAAAACATAGTGGGTACCCTGGACTCAAACGACAGGTCGTGAGTGTCCCTTGTTAGTATGTACAGACAACGCTTGACCTTTAAAATGTCACACGATAACAAAACTGGTCCACGTCTTATGTACTGATATGTATGTAAACAGCCTGCATGTTTTATATCCAAGACATAATGAGTGACTTTCATTACATCTCATATGCAGCCTAAGTTATCTCTAAAAGAGACAACAATCAAGCCAATTAGTTATTAGCGATCCAAAGTAATCACTCCATTTTATCGGTAACCATATTTAATATGTATCGGTGTCTAGTATGGCTTGGGTGTTTCAGAGAAAAAACATGCGATATGGTTGTTTTAACTGGATAAAATAGAGAGAGAAATGTCAAATTCTTGAACTTGACGATAACATAATCCTCTCTCTGGTTCAATTTTGATGCACTCACTTATATCTCATCGAATTGATTGAATTGAGGATGATACATATATGACACGATTTATATTTTTTCTTTACAGTATAGCTTTTTCGTCTCTATTATTTCATTACTTTATTTTTAACAAGATATCCAGCTAGCACTTCAATATCCGTCGGATAATAATTAATACCCACCAAAATCATAAATGGGAGACTTTCAATAAAGATTTATCAGTTGTAGTTAAAAAAATAAGAAATATATAAGGGGTGTGTGTGCTCGGTGTAATTTTTATGTTAATATCTAAGGGAAGAAAGGATCGAGGGGCATATTTCTCAGGTAAGTACATAAATATTTGTTTTTCAAAAATCATTACATAATAATTATAATATGCAATTAAATGACAGTACCCTGGCTAATTTTACTACAATTTGGATGTCTGAGTGTGGTCACTCGCACCAATTGTTTGACGAAGGAAAAGAGTACAAGTACAGTTATTTTGGCCTTTTTACGACCGGAACTGAAGAACCAGTTTCATACTCGTCCAGCTATATGCTCATTGGAATGCTACGGGTACAGGGGAATACTGGAAATTAGCTTACAGTAAAGGTAAATGAATATGACCGTTTGCATATACATATGTACACATATGTAGATAACTTTCACAATTTGAAAGTATCAAAACAAGTCGACGCGGCATTAACAAGATTTTGCATTACTAACATATTTCGTATTGGTTTCAAAATTCCTGATAAGTAAAAAGTTTATCCAACGAATAAGTTGTTCTTAGATATGTAGGTAATATCGAAATTTCGAAACTCGAATTGCGAATGT